TTTTTTAATACAATTGACCCCTGTGACCTTGAATATAATTGAAGGTCATTCATTTGAACAAACTTGGTAGCCCTTCACCCAAGCATGCTACTGGCCAAATATCATCTCCCTGGGCATTTTGGTTATTGAGAAGAAGATGTTTAAAGTTTTTGACATATTTGACCCCTGTGACCTTGAAAATAGGTGAAGGTCATTAATTTTAACAAACTTTGTAGCCCTTCATCCAAGTTTGCTTCTGGCCAAATATCGACACCCTAGGCTTTTCGGTTATTAAGAAGAAGTCATTTAAAGTAAAATATTGACGCCGGATGCCGGACGACGGACGGACGGACGGACGGACGATGGACGCCGCGCCACGGCATAAGCTCACTTGGCACTTCGTGCCAGGTGAGCTAAAAATTAGAAGGATTTTTTTTACAAAAAATGAAATAAACAATTATATAATATCATGGTTCCTATTAATTTATGTATTTTTTACATAATCATGACACTGGCATATTAAAGTACTACTCCAACAGTGTTAGAGGTTTACCTGGTGAGATACTTTTGACAGGCGTTACAGTCGGAAAAATCATATTCGATAGAAAAAAGGCCGACCAGCGGCCTCTTATGTTATAGGAGTAACTTAAGTACCTTTGTTGATCCCAGTGCCATATGGCGAAAACTGTGAGAGAATGCTAGTGAAGAGACCGGGAAACCAACACGGCTCTGTTCAATGATGTGAAACTCATCCGACTTCAGATTGATCAGCCGCAGAATTCCGTCCTGTAAGGAAAATATAGATACAACTAACCACATGTACATATTTTAACCTGGTGTGCTATAAAATATGCATCCCCATAAGATACCTATATCCGGATGCGTATTTTATGGGGGATGAAATTTTTATATGACACTGGGTAAGGACTAAATGTATTTTTAAACAAAGTCACTGACTGAGGGTTAAAAGGTGAAGCAAATTTAGCACTATAGCCATTATATGTCTTTTTCAGTACAGAAAAGCTTAAGTTATTTCCATTTATGCACTATAAATCTATATTTCCATGACCATATTTTAAATATTGAGATCAGCATTGTACGAAATGACTATCAAATAATTTAATGACAAAATTTTAACTGGAAAGGCCCAACTGCTCCATATAATGATACAGTTTGGGTTTAATCTAGAAAGGATTTGTAGTATTAAAATTTAGGAACAGGCCCAGCGCCAATTTTATTTACCCCATTTATAAGGACTAGACCCCTGGGCTTATCACTGTGATTTTAAAATTAATGAGAATCGTCCATTATGTACCTGTCCTGCAGCGTAAAGTCCTTTTCGGTGGAGGCCAATGCAGTCCAAACTTCCTTCCAGCATCATCGGACTCAAATCATCTGTCACTGTAATTTACATTGAGATGATTTTGTTTTAAACTTCTTTTGCATTTAACTCTCAATTTTCTTCTTTTTTTCTTCTTTTTCTTTTTTTTGTAAATCCATGAAATTTGTTATTTATTGATACACAAAACATATAAAATCTTTTGGGTTAATTTAATGACAGATTTAAACTAAAAGTTTCAAATTGTTAAGTGATTTAAAGTTTGGATATTAAATATTTTGTACTAATTCACAAAAAATATCTTTTTGTATTCTTTAAATTGTGAAAAGGAAACCTTTAATTCCATTTTTTTTCTGTAAAAAATATAAATTCAAAGTTTCAAATTTTTAAAAAGTATCAAATTTATATCATAGAAATGAAAAAAAATCATGCAGACTTTTCAATTTTAAATGCAAAGTACTTTTAAAAAAATGAATAAGAAATTACTAAGCATTCATGCACATTTTTTCCCATCTATTTTTTTATTAAAAAGAAGTAACATGCATGATTAAACATCTCAACACATAACTCCACGATATCTGTGATCTGTGTCAAGTTACTGTATATCCTTTAGAAAAAGGTCTCATGATTTTTTTTGTAATTACCTTAAATTTATCAATTTTATCACAAAATGTGTCATCAATAAATTTATCAAGTCAAAATGAACACTTTAAAAATATTTTTTTTCTTTTTTTTTCTTAAATTATGCATAATTTTTATTGCTGTATAAACAACGTCCCCTGTTACAGCCTAACAACACACCATTTTGAAAACTCTTTGTCTTCCAATTTTGTTTATAGCTTACAGTCTGAACAGAAAAAACCCAGCTTTTTTCTTCTTCCTTAAATATTGAAAACTGAGGATTTTTTTCTCTCAAAAAATGAATGCAGAATATTCATAGAAGAAATTCATGGATAAATTCTGTATATCTTTCTTTTGGAAGTTATTTGAATTTTCAAAATGAATTATATTCTTGAGCATATATATTTTATTGTAACTGTGATGTGTTTAGCTATAAACATCTAACTGTGACAAATTAAAAGAGGACATGTGACAAGAGACAGTGGTGAGTTTTATCCTGAAACATCAACATGTTTAACCCTTTCACCACTGCAGACCGTAATGGAATCATCCAGATCAATCCATGGTAGATTTTACTAAAGTTGCATAGGGGTGAAAGGGTTAAAGTCGAACCTTGTTCCCATGATTAAAACTGATAGGTCCATTTTAAAACCTTGGTTTTACGATGTTTAAAACCAATTTATGATATGATATATATTGTGCTTGTCAAAACTTTTTGTAATCTGGTTACCTGTGTAAACCAGAACTTAACTCATTCACCCCTACATATCTAAACTGGACTTTCCCAGCCGTTGGTTTGGTAAGGTTCAAATTTGACTTTAGGGATGAATGGTAGTCCTGTTGGTAAATAATCTAAGTATATAAAACTTATTTTTTTCTGAAAGCTTGTCTTTTCTGTACAGAACATTTAGTTATTCTATAAAACAGAATCCCTTAATTTAATAGCACTCCACAGATTTAAAGAGGTGAATATTGTAAAAGTGGAATTTTAATAAATTTGATGCTTCAAGTTAATTTTGGTGAGAAACTGTTGAAAACACTGCTGCAATATATATTTCATAGTACTAGAGTGTCCATATGTTCTCGTGAAAATAACTTTATGTTAGGGCCATTTTTGTGTGTGTGTGTTTCTGGTTTTAGATATATGAAAACAAATTATTAGGGTAGGTGATCCATCATTATGGAGGAAAAACATCTTATCTGGCAATATATCTTTTCAAATGTTACGCAAGGACAGCATTTAAGGAAAAGTGGAAACAGGTTTTTCTTTTTCGGTCTAACAAGGTTTGACTATAAAAATCTTAAAACTAGATACACACATAAAAGAATGCCCTGTTTCAACTACGTACACACACGATATGAAATTTTCTTTTGCACTCTGAAACACGGATCAGATATAAGGTTCTAGAACCGTACACTTTTAGCACACTTTGGATTATACATCAACAAAGCATACAGATTATTTTCCTTATTCAATCATTCAACAAAGCAAGGTACTGAAACACAAATCCCCTATCCACAATTATCCCACTCCAACAAGCATCTATGTTCAATGTACTTGATGTTATTTCGTGAAAGTTTTGCTTCACATCCTTATAATACCAAAACTTCAAATCGATGTTCGAATACTGAAAGTATTTACTTCAATACTTTGTTATTCTTTGTGCCAATATTTTTTCAAATTTTCCTAATTTATTCAACAGTTTAGGAAAAAATAGGATTTTTTTTGGAGCAAAGTCTGTTAATTTAATTTTGAGTACAAAGTTAATTTATAGAGAAAATCATTCACAACATAAAAAGCACAAAATTGATTTGCCAACCATTGGCAAAGTTCTTCAAAGTACTTTTAGCTTAATTACTTGCAGGATCTATAGATAACATCTTCCAATGCAGATTTTCCATTAATTCTACAATTATCTAAGTAACAAAACTAATCCATTTTTTACAATTCACAAAAAACAAAGACATAAATCTAGACACTTATTCATGTATTCCTTAAAATAAGACAACTTAACTTTTTTTAAAATTTCATTCAATTTTTTGTGTTAGTTTAATTTTTTGTGTCTTTTAATTAATTTACATTTTTTGTCTTTTAATTAATTTTAATCTTTCTGTCTTAAGTAAATATTCACAATCCTCTTTAAAACGGGATCCTGAAATTGTTCATGACAAAAATAGTACAATATTCGTGTTAATACCGTGTCTACCACACACAAATACACTGTACCAATAATGTTCACACAATCGTACTACTGATGAGAAAACCAAAGTGTACACAACAAGCCGCTACGCATCCTATCTTACCGCTGGTACCCATGCGAACACTTTTCTTCATTCCTGGTAGTGCAACAATCCAACATGTGATTTTCATATAAATATATATATATATATATACAATACAGTATTTACTATAATAAAGCCTAGGGCTAGGGTTGGGCAATCGGTTAAAAATCATAATCGATAATCGGTTTATTATCGAAAGTAGAAAACCGATCGATAAACGATTGCATTCTGGTAATCGGTTCATAATCTTACAGGACTGCATGAATATTCAAATAAAGTGAGAAAATTACCATAACGTCAATAGACAGAGTTGTTATCTATACACTAGGTTTCATTCTTTTATAACGAATGGATGTAAAGCAATTTTCATTTCGCTAATTTTCTATTATAATCCATCATTAGCTCATCACTACATACCTAGGGCACTTGAACATTTTGCTGAAGTGGGGTGCTTATTAAGATATCCAAACACAAGTTATAGACAGTAACTTTTTGTAAGGCAGCATAACTGTCAGACATGTTCACAGTGCAGATTCAAAAACTGTTCACTGCTTTTCTTAAACACTGAAACCAGTTTTGATCGCAAGAATGAAGGAGTCTGATATCAGAATTAATAGGGTAAATCAATTTTTTACTCTTCTGCTAAGGAAGTTTGTTAACAATATATGCATGAACATTTTATTCTTGAGATTTTGAAAAAAAAGGGTTAACTCTACTACTTTTAATAATACAATTTTTTTTTTTTAACTTTCTCATTATGATGTATCAGCCAAGATGTTGAGCTTATTATAATCACAAACCTTTGAGGAAGAACAAACTACCATTCACAGATTTATATTGATTATATTTAAACCAAGCGTATGACCTTGGTAAAATTCAGGAATTAAGCGAGAGTGTCATGGGTGTTTGATTTGTAGAAGAAATAGATCATATAATTTCAGGTAAAATGATCTTTTTGACTAAGGGAGGTCATTTGAGATTTAATTTGATAACACAACTCTGCTGTACCTGTGAAACTAAAGGGATATTCCTAACTTTGTAACAAAGAAGAAATTTCCTCCGTTTTTTTAAAAAAATATTTCTTTCTAACTCTCTGTGATAACTTTTCCTTTTGAACTGATATCATCTCATTAAACATAATTCTGTTGTGTTGGATCAGTAACTTTTGAAAAAATTCGTAACATCACTTAAAAAATAAATATGATGCATACCTATGTATGTGTAACTCACCTGACTGACCAAGATCGGCCATAGACGGTCCCCTGCTGGCACTGGCTGCACTAGTGACCCGGGAGAAGGGTGTCTCCGCCCGGGGAGGCGGATGGTACACAACGCGTGCTTTAAATGTCTCCCCATCGATCTGAAAAGATTATATCAAAATTGATGTTTTTTTATAGATAATTCATTAATCTGTCAGCATTAAAATACAATGCATAGAAAATATTTGTAATTATGTAAAATAAAAAAGATAATCAACAAAATGTCATTCATGTATTTTCAAAAAACATCTTGAACTAAAAGTTCTTTTATATACTTTTTACATGTTTTGTCAACGAGAGTTTCATTGAAAAGAAATAAAAGTGCAGAATTTGTTTTATTCAGGATTGGAAAAGAAACCAAAAGAACCCAAGAAAACAGCACATGTTAATTAAAATATCTTTGAAGGTAAAACCACCATTATCGATAAAGCAATAAAAACATTATTCAATTATAGCCTTTGGCTGAGGTCGATACCTGGATTTATCGACACGAGAAAAGATATATTGACCGAGGACGCAGTCCGAGGTCAATATATCTTTTCTTGGGTTGATAAATCCAGGTATTAACCAAAGTTAAAGGCTACAATTGTTTTATTATTTTACAAAACAGTAATGCAAGCAATTTAAAAAAGAAACACAACAAAAAAGCTTCGGAAGTGGGATGGTGCATTGTTTGAAGACACGTCATAATTCTATTTTTAGAAACACCCAGTCCTTCAACAAAAATCATGCGCTCCAAGTCAATATCAAATTTTAGCAGTGGACTCACGATGCACTCCTGGCCAATCACTTGTCGGTAATAATATGAAAAAATACTAATTTCTCATAAAATCATATTGAACTTGAATACCTTTAAAAGATGTCCTCCTCTACATCCAACATAGATATCACCAGCGGTGGTCCAGGCCACGGACGAAGGCGCCACACGTGGTGACCGGTCCTGAATGTCCTCCAGATGGTCATCCATGTCTCCCACCAGACCTGCGATGGCTGCCTTCGGGACATCCACGGTGTATCGGCTCATACGCGTTGATGCACGGGAAGCACTCTGGTCCCTTTCTTTTTCTTCCTCCCACCAGGAGGAATCCTCGTGTGGCAGCTTGATCTTTCTGTAATACATTCAGTGATGTCTTAATGACTAAGTACAGTCAGTGATCAGTGCTTGGTCGTAATAAGGTATATTTTCAAAATTTGGTTTTGGGATCCATCTATAAATTTATGAATATTGTTGCACTTCTTGTCATTAGAAAATCATTGAGAATCCTGAAACACATATTTTCTTAATTACAATACTTTTGAAAATTCATTGGTTTAAATTTGGATTATGCTGTCGTTAAATTCAATCACACCTTGAACATCTGAGTCCTTTGGATAATCTCCCTATGTATATCACATGACAATTTTTATTGGAAGTTCAGAGCAACTCAAACATTTATGTTTTTTAAATTGCAAACAGGGTTTCAAATATCACCTAGACTACTATACTGTATTATAAATTTACACCAATACTTTGATTTAGTTACAAAAGATGTAGGAAATAAAATTCCTTATGTCCATATAGCATGGCATCAGGGCATACAATATCATATTTAGAATAACTGGGGGAAATCTACAAGCCCTACCTTTAATTTTAACAATACTAGGTCATTCTTCTTATCAAAACTTACTGGGACTGTAGCATATAAGCCTCATTGCTCTGTTCCATTTGCCAGACTGTCAGTTCTTTCTCGGTTCCGATACATATCTGGCGCCAGTTTCCAGGATTAAACTGCATACATTTTACTGGAGAGTTGAATATTTGTACAGATGTCAATTTGGTCCCAGTGGTATAATTCCTAAAAAAAAATGGTAAAAAACCCGTATAAGTTTAAGATATATTAGAATTAAAACTAATATAGACATGCATACATTTAACGATCCCTATTCTTTTGCTGTCATTTAATGGGAATTTATACTACATTTTCATGTTTTTTTTCTGGCGACATTTTGGGGCCGATAGTGGGCACCATTCCCAATTGAAACTATTCCATACTTCAGCTTAATTCCCAAAATTTTAGTTTACCCCTGAACATTTCCTTCCTAATTGGTATATATTTTCTTCCAAAAGTGAGACAAAAAGTCCCCATCCCAAATTAAAAATTATTTTCATTTTCAACCTTTTTTTTTTCCTTGATAAAGGGGGGTGGATTCAACCAGGAACAACCTTTGTGATATGTATTACAGGTATTGAGGAAGGTAAAATTCAATACTAGACAGTGTTTATTTTGAAAAACCAAAGGATATAAATCTGGAGGAGGGTGCGCTTTTTTTTATAGAAAAATTGTTAGTCAGCATATGTTATCTTGATCAGATAGAAATAAGCTTAAGGGTCCTCTTGATCAGCAAACAATATGGGTCAGCTTGATCAGACGGGAAAAAAGATCAACATGATCAGATAAAAATATGGGTCAACATGATCATTTAGCAATGGTCGAAAAAGTTATTGAAAATGCTGACAAATTTTCAGGGTTATTGCTTAATTCTATATGGAACTTTCCTTACATGAAAGGCTTTCCCCTTTTGTTCAATATTTCATGAAACCATAATCCAAAGAATTTTTTTTCCACAGTTTTTTTTTTATTGTGATCAGCTTGTTATACTGGTTCTCAGAAAAGACAAATATTATCAATGAACCCATTTTTTACAGAAGTATTTCAATTGCAGAAGTCCCCAAAAATAAAACCACATGAAAAATAAAAGCTTTATAGTAGGTTGAGCAAAATACTAAAAGCATCACTTACCAGATAGTCAACTCAAAGTCAGGAATTCCAGAAATGGTGGCCAAATATTCACTGGTAGAAAACATTACATTATTGTACTCCAGTTTGGTTCCACCTGTAGCAAAATGTCAAATTCAAAATATAAATTGACATACAATTTTTTTCTATCATATATATATATATCAATTAGCCCGAGTTTCCTCTGGCCCTGACACCAGACTTAGACATTTTGACAGATAGATGTCTGGTGTGGGGACAGAGTGCACTACCATATGAAAACATGGAATTCTCCAACACCAAAGTGTCAGAGAGTTTTTAGGTGCTGACAAGAAAAATCTACTATGACACAACACATGTCTTACATCAATTGATAGATGAAACATTTATTTATCCAAAACATCCTTATTATCACCAAACGCTGCTAGATTCCGCCAGCAGCATCCTTGGTATTCAATCATTCAAAGTTTCCCAACTGATGAGCCCCGCCATTTTGTAGACTATGCAAATTACACAGGAGTGACTTATCAAAAAACCATATTGAACCAGACCGAAACGGAATACATTATTCTATTAAGAAGAATTCCTGACTGCCTTTTCTTGTTGATTAGAAGAAACTCAGGCTAAATATAGCAATGAAACAAATATTTCCTTGTCAACTCATTTATTTTTCAATTCAGTCTATAAAAAACGTCTATTACTGTTGTTGTAAATATGCTTCACCAGGTTTTAATAAATACTAAATTTTACCTTCAATAACTCCCAGTTGACGAAAAGTTGGGTAGACAAAGATGAATATTTTTGGATCAAGGCATTTTTCAGCAACGGCAAAGCATTTAGCACTCGGATGAACTGCAAAAGGCCCGACTCCGTTGCCCTTGAAATTGAATACTGTCTCCATTCCATCTTCAGCAACAAACTTAACATTGCTTCCACACAGGTAACAAAGGACATCTTTGTCGACGTAGGCTGTGCGCGATCCAGAATAGCCTTGGGCCCAACTGTCAAAAATAAGAAACACAAATTACATTCAAATGAAATATTTTAAATTGAGTTGATTTATCATAGATATGTTATACCAGGTAATAATTTATACTATATGTTGCAATTTCCCAAAACATCCTCACTTCACACATGCTCCACAAACTCAGGAACCTGGTCATCAACACATTACATTTCTTCATGTAGTTAAAACCCATTAAATCTTTTTTATTTTTAGAGACGTTTATCTGTGAAGAGTAGACACCATCATTTATGTGTACACCACCTGTGCAGGTTACTCTTCCTAAAGCTTACACACATAGCAATGAAATGAGCATGAGTTTCTGACATGGCCAATTTAATGTGTAATAGGACGAGTCAGGCCTAGGGAACAATCCCTAAAGTTTAAGGACACAATCGTGGCATTTACATGTTTTCTAGCAACCCAACCAGTTTGGTTGCGACCCATTTCTAGCCATTACAAATGCATGGGGCTTGGATTTTCAAACTTCTGCTCTACTGGATGGTAAAGCAACATCGAAAGTATAGTTCTTTTAATTTAGTGCCTATGATATCTAATTATATGCTGCTATGTTATTGTATGTTTTACTCGCTGATTATGTGCTAGCTTCCTGTGACAGTGTATATCTTGTTTGTTGTTTTCTGTTTGCTTTTTATCATGTTTGTCGCAAAAATAGCGCTACAGAACTAATGTTTCTCTGTTTGATATATGTGACGTTAAATAAAGTTTCTTGTATTCTTGAATGTGGTCAGAGGCTGGATGGATGGTTCCCGTTTAGCATATACATTTGATGTTGAGTGTTTTGGCCCTGTGGTTAGGGAAGGTACATAAAGTGGAGCATAGTGAGGACCCAAGGGATTCCCCAGACCAGAATTCGTGACCAGACATCTCAGAGAAAGGTATTGGTAGTGTACCAGCTGAGAATATAAGGGGCAAACAATCCTTCACTCCTTGACTGGCAAGCTACAGTAGCTTTTCCAGTGATGCAGTAAAACCCTAGGACTCGCTCAATAGGAGTTAGGTAACATCGAGCAGAACCAGTGGCTGGATGGGTGTACGTTAAGCTCATGGCAACGAAGTATAGTTGACACTATTTTCAAGTGTCAGTTTCAATATTCCTGTTAATCAAGCACATTACATGTAAACAAGAGGCGAAGTGCAACCACCTGTTTACATGCATCTGTCACTGCGTCAGTAATTTTATTACATTAAATGTTGTCATTTTCCATATTCAAAAGTTGACAGTGCGTCTATCATATTTTCTTTTTTCAAGAAAAGCAATCGGTGTACTTACGACAACTCCAACGACCCGATAGCATCCATAATTAAAATGTAGTCAGTTTCTAAACCAGACGGTCAACCATCTTTGTTGGATTGTTGCTAGGTAGTGAAGTTGTGGTCTCGTATAACAACGCGATAATCTCGCCTTATCAAAATCTAAGCAATAATATGTGAGGCATTTAAATCAATGATTCGTTTATGCAAGAATAATGTATTAAATAATTCTCAAAATCAAAATCTTTATAGAAATGACTATGTAAATGGAAAATTATTAAAACAAATCAAACAAATGTTTACCGTTTTACTACGTTATCGACTACTTTTTACTGTTTGCGGAATGGAGTAATACTAACTACAGCACGAGACACTTTTTGTGCTCCGTCCTTGCAGTGAAAAACCGGATAAATTAATTTATAAATTGTTTCGCGAATATATCGAAGATTACTTGAAATGCCCCATTTTCTACTAAATTTGGCAAAAATTATCATAAGGAAGAATAAAAGGAATTGTGATGAATTGGAAAAAATAATACTGTGTTAACAAAATCTCTATTTACAAAATGCTAAATATTTTAGTTCCAAAGGTCCAAATAATAATATTATTGGTTAACATATATAATGTGTGGCACTAACAGACTCGCGTCGAACAATAAAATGACAAAGTGCATGAACTAGAGTAGTGCATGAGGGACAACTCTGTGTGTGTATCAAGGGAATTATCTCCCTTGCACCACGTCGTTTAAAAGAATGTTCAGTAACATGACCATTTTTTTTCCAAAAGCCGTTGCTGTTTTTGTATTTTTTTTAACACTTTAAAGGTAAAATAGTCAGGGAAATCTACATGTAAAAGACTTTTGTCTCGCCAAAAGTCATTAAAATTTAAGGGACTGTGAGATTCAGCATACCTTTGCTATTTAAGTAAAATTCCTTTCTTTGTATCTTTTGAGAAAAGTACCAATGTATGTAATCTGTAGGTCACTTTGAATTTCTTTGCAGAACATTGCACTTAACTTTGAATTACATTTCTAATTGGTAAATTTAATTGACATTTAAAAAGAATGGCATTGTGTATTTTCTCTTTCTTGATATTTATCTAAATAGTTTTGCGAATCAACACTGCATACACTGTCTGAACAGGGAAACCATGAGGGATGAGGCATCAATTGATTGATTTTCCTTAGCCATTCTTACAACAAGTCCCTCTCCCTGAAAGCTGATTGTGACGTCATGCTCCCTCCTTTATATTTTTTGTGACTGCGTCACATCTGTCATATAAGGGGCTACTGGTACTGCTGGGGAATGACAGCATTAGGAAATATCATACTTGATATATTCACCCCTTGTGGACGGGAATTTGGGCGGGGGCTCACATTTGAGAAAGATTCTCGTCTAGCCTTGTGTATAGCATTTTAGAGTCTTCCCCGAGATATGGTATGAGATCACACAATCTTACTTTTTACTTACCATCCCAGAGAGGCGAAAGCTTCTATTAATCTTTTTCGGCTGCGACGGGAGACATTGAAATTTCTACCCGATGATACAGAATTTGGTTCTTGAAATTACGTTAATAATGTAGCGGAACTATCGTCGGCGACCAGGTACGTAGCTCAATTGGTACATCGTCCGTCGAGAGTTCGAAGGGCCACGAGTTCAAACCCCGGTCTGGCCATGCATTTCCCCCGCTCCTTTTACATTTGGTGCCCGTGACCAACCTTTTGTTCAAGCACTGGGTGAATGCCATCCTCGATACCCTCTAGAGAGCGAAAGTGAGCGTAACCCCTGGGGTATTGCCGACGAGGAGGGGTGAATGCTTGACAAGGGGGTACCCGAACCTGGGTTGTAAAAAGTGATGTCTTCGAGGGCAAAGACTTAGGAAAATGAGGGAGAAATGTAGCGGAACAGAACTGGGTCGATCGCTGGTTATCAGGTAGCTCAATAGGTAGAGCGTCCGTCTAGAGTTCGGAAGTTCCGGGTTGAACTCCAGTCTAGCAGTGTATTTTCCCGCTCATATTACAATACTACATGATGTCAGAGAAGTGTAATATATACGTCTCTGATGATGTATAGATCGAGACCCGAACGGTTTCCGACTGGACGTTTGATATGTCTTGATGTTATGTTTTTTTTAACTAACTTTGAGAACAACATTTTGTGTTCAGTATATTTAGTGACTGTATACTCACAGAATGTAAATATCACGACATAATCACCACTGGAGTTTTTAATGTCAAATAGACATGGTAGTTAGTCCATTGATATATGTAACGTTTGTCTCTGCTTAGTCAACAATATCAATGGGAGGGATTCCAGGGGGCTCCACAAAAAACACCTTTCGCCTACAGGGACAATTTCCTTATAATGTGTATTTGCATATCGGGGTTTAACCCGTGAACTACTGATTTAGAACTTTAGTGGTCCTAATTTGGAGCCCTGTGTTACGGTGTCAGGTCGTTTCGGTAACAAGTCGTTTCGGGACTTTTTTCGGGTCGTTTCGGGACATGTCAAAAGTCGTTTCGGGATTTTTCAATTTTTTTTTATCTTCTGGTCTATACTATTATCTTTTTTCTTTAAAAATATTTTAATATCAACTAAATTTAGGCAATCGATTGGATAAAAGATATTATGTTACTAAGATACAATAGGCGAAATCGTGTGGTTCAGAGCGCTCTCTGGTACTCTGGTATGTCTCGGAAGGTATAAATATTGGTAATTGAGAGTTACTTCCCCTGAAACACAAAAAACAACCGGAGGAGTGTGTGTTGACATTACACGGTAGCTGGGAGGGATAGAAAACAGACAGCGGGTAAAATGGCGGGTGACAGCACGTACGAATATTTCGGCGGGATCGAAGGGTAAATATTTAAGCGGCTAGTGATGTAATGAAAAGTTGAAAATGCTGATTTTGACTGTCCGGGAAGTTGTAAATGTTGACAACCCATACGAGAAAATTGACGATTTTTTGACAAATTGTGGGCGTGGTACTTTTGCTTGACCATTGCTTAACTTGTTCCTCGAATGTGCATTTGCATCATATACATTTCTCTTCAATTATGTGGAAGGTTGTAGGATTTATAAAACGGGACATTGACGCTTTGGCGAATTAGTTCAATTGTGGGGCGGTTGGGGCATAGGTGGTGGGCACGTCTATCAAAAAAAAAATCTAGATCTAGTTTTATATATTCATTTTTTTTTTGATAGACGTGCCCACCACCTATGGTTGGGGGAGGGAGTTGGTGGTGTTGCTCAGTTGCTAATAAATGACAAGTCAGCGGGGTCATCTGTTTTTGTCGTGTTTCATTTTAACAATAATCTGTGTTGAATAGATTCTGTATGTTCTGTCAATCATAACAGAGTGTGCCCGGTATCATATGTTTTATTTGTGTGAATTAATATAGACAGTCAACTCTCTTGTTTTGATTTTAATACCAAATAGGTCATTGCTAAAAGTACTAGCCTACCACTTCTACTAATATACATGTATTCCAGAGGTGCTACACATTCCAAGATGGTACTCTTCCGATCAGACGGCAAAGTGATGGCCTGGACAGAGGGTCCATCCACCAATCAATGGGTAGGTATACCTATACCTGTACATGTGTAGCAGAACTAGACTGGGTCAATTGTATGCAACCAGGTAGTTCAATTGGTAGAGAGTCCGTCTAGAGTTTGGATGGTCCCAGGTTCGAATCGTAGTCTGGTCGTTCTTTTTCTCTTTCTCCTATTACAAAATTGGCGAGCTTGCCAACACCTGTTTCATTCGAACACTTGGTAAATGCTTAGCAAGGAGAAACCCAAATATTTGTTTTAAATAGTGTTGTCTTTTGGGGCAAAGACTTAGAAAATAGAGGGAGAAATGTAACGGAACTGGACTGGTTCTATCTGCAACGACAAGGTATTTCAATTGGTAGAGCGTCAATCTAAAGTTCGGAGGGTCCCAGGTTCGAATCCGGGTCATGAAATGTTTGTACTCTGAAAAGTCTGATGCTTTTTGTATACTGAGTCAGAATATATTACTTGATAAGACACCAAAATATCCACAGCTCCAACAGTCTGTGGCTATGGCTATGATCTGGTCAATTGTTTTATAAGTCAAAATGTAGAAGCCACAGCATAAAACTGTTTATAGATATACTCACCTTTCTAACTGTTTATAGATATACTCACCTTTCTAACTGTTTATAATATTTTATGCTGTGGCTTCTACATTTTGACTTATAATACCATTGACCAGAAAGGTGAGTATATCTACACCGGTGCTGTGATGAAACTTTCTGAATTAACAATGCAATCTTTGGAAAATGGCAACAGGAAATATAATTTACCGGTACTACATGTTCATACCAATGTTTCATGTATTTGAAATATTTTAGCGGATTTTTAATATCTGACGTCTTGCCCAGTTTGGCACATACTTTGTACATTTAAACTTTTATATCAGATTTTGCTTGTACAAATAACACATGAATTTAATATGACCATGTTGTAATACTTTCGTTGGGGTTAGAATTTAGCAATTTTGTCTCCGTAACTTATTCGCGGGGATTTAATTTCGCGAATCACATTTTGTGAAAGTTTATTTCAGACTTTTTATTTATTTAGTTTTAATTTAACTCTTAACATTTTTATATAGTGCACTTCTTTCAAAGCGATGTTTTGACCTAGAAGCCTCAGCTCAACTTATATTGCGGATGTGTGAAACGTGGATATTATGAATATTCACAAGGGTTTTTATTTCGCGAATGTTTACGCAGTTGCGAAATTTGCAAAATTAAAACCCTCTTGAATATTACCAATATACAGTGATAAAACTGTGTGAGGGCATACACATTGATAACTAGCATCACATCTCATCTGCTAGAAAAATTAAAGAAAAGTTTTAAACCCATATATACCATCTTCAGTGATTTGTTTTAGGGCGAATTAAGAGCCATATATTTATAAGGCTCCTTCCCCAGGATAATTTCTGACCTACGTATTACAACAAAATTGATGCAAAAATCATGTATTTTTTCCAAAAATCATGCTTTTTGTGAGTGATATTTTCCCAAAGTGCACAGGCCCATGTCAAAAAGACAAAATTTTAAACCAAAGGAGAACTTGTGAGATGGTTTTTACCCCCTTTGCAAGTTAGCATGTAGATGTACTTATACGAGGATTCATTCAAAACGAGGTAAAACCTGTCAAGTTTTAATAATGAAAATTAAATCAGTATTTCTGGCCATTGATTCTTCTGGAAAAAGAAATTGACAAGTCAGAGACAAATTAACAAGGGTTTACTATTAGTAATGTTGTCTCAAATAGTTTGGTCAATTTTCACAGAAGGCTGATTATATTGGTATAGCACATCGGGTATGATTCCTAATACTGTACTCGGAAGTTTAAGAAACTTTTCTTAAATTCTTAACTCATTCACCCCTGAAAACACATTTGAACTCTTTCAATTCAAAGGTTGGGATAGATCATTATGAAATTTCAGGGGTGAGTGAGTTAACTTGAAATCAGTAAAGGGAGGCAATTATGTTTCAATTTTTGTCCCCAACAGCTAGTTGGACAGGAGGAATGCCTGAAGAGAGTTAGTCAGATGGTCCAAGAGGCAAAGAAAATTGCAGGTCTGGACGAGGACAAACCTATTAAGGCTCTGGTATGTAAACAGGTTTAAATAATCTAAAATAAGACGTTTAAGTACCTATAAGATGGCACCTTGATGTAGTCCTTTAGTGGCCCCATCTGTTGAAATTGTAGTTGAATCTAGATAAATGAAATTTAAACATGTGTTATAAATCAAAGAAATAATATCAAAATGAATCCAGATTTCACCAATGACCTTTTCTGCTCAGTTTTACAGCCAAATAAAGACTGTTTCCCCTAGCTAAAAATTGCCTTAATATTTTCCCAAAATGATTAAAAATGAGGAATATATTCCCAATTTCAATCAAAATAATGCCATATTTTCCCATTCATAACGGAACAGGCTGTTGTAACATTCCGCTAAAAAACCCACTGTTTGTTGGCAAAGAAAAAAATTGAAATATGTTTTTCAAATATGTCAAATGTGAACTTCTGTTTTAAGAATTTCCCAGTTTTAAGTTCGCCCAATATAAAGGGAACATAATTATTTCACGTATTTGGAGTATTTGTATTAATTTTGTGATACATAATTCAATACCTATATTGATATGTGAAATTCTGGGATCATATTGATCGATGCACACCCCCCCTCCACCCCCACCCCAACCATTACATACATGTGTATGTGAAGCACTACTTCCTGTTTTATTACAGGGATTAGCTATGAGTGGAGCAGACCAAAAGGAAGCTCAGCAGCAAATTATTGATGGCATGAAATCCAAATATAGTCAAGTGAGTCAGAATGTGGCGGTTTCCAGTGATACAAATGGCTCCATAGCAACAGCCACTGCAACAGGTAAATTTGTTCATCATGCTAGTGTTATAAATCTTATAAATCTTGTTTTGTTATTTTTTAAAACAAGTTTTTTGGCTATACCTGTACTTATATCATGCACAAGAAAACAGAATAATGATAATCAAATTAATGATATTCCAGATTCTTTTATACTGCTTTATCACAACCTTGTAAGTTGTCTCAAAGCAGTTCACAAATTATCATCCTTGGTTATACGGCCTTTGCAACCAGCCAATATCTTTCTCAACTCCCTTGGGATCATACAGCCTGTGCTGCCATTTCGGTGCTCACAGCTAGCTTTAAACAATTCTAGCACTTCCCAACCACATTCTCATTTACAGCTGAGTAGACTGGAACAAGCTGAGTAGAGTATCTTGCTCAAAGATACAACACTGTGCCGTTCGGTGACTCGAACCTGCAATCCTTCGGTAATGAACCCGGCGTCCTACCACTAGACTACTGTGCTTCCATTAATGTAGACATTTGTTAAGTAATGCTGTTAAATCTCTTTATTGGAGTACATTGTATACTTTAAACTCATGAAGTTTTCTTCACATAGGGGGAATAGTCCTGATAGCAGGTACAGGGTCAAACTGTCAGCTCGTTAACCCTGACGGCAGTACCTACAGGTGTGGTGGATGGGGCCACCTGATAGGGGACGAGGGCTCAGGTAAGGTGCTCAGGTGTTCAAAATTAACTTAAGTGTAAGGTAAAAGTGAGTTAGCTCATAAATTTAAATTATCAATAATATGTACCGATAAGGGAAATTAAATATGTTATCAAATCAATAAGGATGAATACATCAACCAAAGTGAAGTAAATTGTTATGAATTCAGAACATGGGAATTGTAACATTTATGTTGTTTTTGTATTTAGAAATTAAAAACCATGAATTACTGTTAGACTTTATATAAGCAGATCACTTACCGTATTTTACCGGTGATCAAACCAGGGGGCCTGTACATGGAAACATGTCAGAAATAGTGGGTGGGCTAGTTACCAGATATAAGCCTGTGTTTTACTGGTCATGAGCCCAGATCTAGACTGGACATCGTGGTCTGCCATTTTGGTTCCCGATGTCACAGCTTGCAAAATTAGAACTGGTAGTAGTTTGTTCTGAATATATATGGTACGTAAATGTTATGTTTAATATCGCAAATGAAACAGAAATCTGTAGAATTTATGAATATATGGGAACTTTCGGTTTAAATGGGTGACCAACAATAGCTTTGAATTAAATTACATGTAAAACTATTATTGTACATAGCACAACAACATACCACATTAATTACGATCGGGATTTCCTTATCGGTTGAAATAATGAAGCACTTATATCATAAGTTCAGTCTTGCGCTTACCTTTGTACCAAATAACACGAATCCATAGTTTTGAATTTTGAAAATAATATCGGTGAGGCAGGGTTCAATTGTCCACAGGATTAAGGTCTCCTTCTAGCTTCGAGCTAGTGGGCATTTCCCTTTAGCTCAGTGGTAGAGCGTCCGACTAGGAACCTGGAGATCGAGGGTTCGATCCCCGGTGGAAGCACACTATTCTCTTTCCTGTTACATCAGTAAAAAACGCAGAATATTGGATTTATCAATGTCCATAAGCGGTGTTGTAATCACCTACCCCGACAATGTTACCTGTGGCCAACGCTATGTGTATTAGCGGTGTGGTGTTGAATTTACCTCCCTTGACAATGTTACCTGTGGCTTACTCTATGTGTATTAGTGGTACAGTGTGGTGTTGAATTTACCTCCCCCGACAGTGTGACCTGTGGCTAACGTTATGTGTATTAGCTGTGTGGTGTTGAATGTACCTCCCCCAACAATTTGACCTGTGGCCAACGCTATGTGTATTAGCAGTGTGGTGTTGAATTTACCTCCCCCGACAATGTGACCTGTGGCCAACGGTATGTGTATTAGCTGTGTGGTGTTGAATGTACCTCCCCCGACAATGTTACCTGTGGCCAACGCTATGTGTATTAGCAGTGTGGTGTTGAATTTGCCTCCCCCGACAATGTTACCTGTGGCCTACGCTATGTGTATTAGCAGTGTGGTTTTGAATTTACCTCCCCCAACAATGTTACCTGTAGCCAACGCTATGTGTATTAGCAGTGTGGTGTTGAATTTACCTCCCCCGACAATGTTACCTGTGGCCAACGCTATGTGGATTAGCAGTGTGGTGTTGAATTTACCTCCCCGACAATGTGACCTGTGGCCAACGCTATGTGTATTAGCTGTGTGGTGTTGAATGTACCTCCCCCGACAATGTTACCTGTGTCCTACGCTATGTGTATTAGCACTGTGGTGTTGAATTTACCTCCCCCGACAATGTTACCTGTGGCCAACGCTATGTGTATTAGCAGTGTGGTGTTGAATTTACCTCTCCTTATAATGTTAAGGGGGCCCACTTATACGGTTCAACCAGCTTAGCTGTTTTTAAACGTAATATTTTCTGGTATAAACCTTGGCAGACCTGCAAATGCAGACCTTGCAAGGATCATCCTCAATATCCGGGGTTACGTTCACTTTCACTCTCTGCACCTCTGGAATATGTCATAGCCAAATTGAAGGCATGCGTCTGTCTAGCTATTTAATTGGTGTCGGGTAAATAAACTTTACCAATAACTAGGCTGATACTTGTCCTTTGAAGATTACAGAGGAGCGACTTGCGACTTTAAAGCCAATAAGTTTTACTGTTACGCAACTGTGAGATTCTTTTGATGTACATCAAAGGATCAAAGTAGCCTTCTCGTCTCGTCCAACTGCATGGTTCAACCGTTTTAACTGCAATAAACGAATGCAACCCTGGTTATATTGCATGATAAATATGGTACATATATGTCATGGATCATTTCCCAAATTCAGATCCGTGCAAAGACATTTTTGAATCATATTCCTGAAAATAAATACCATATTCATCTGTTCATTAACCCATGTCCGGTAACAAATCATCTTATTTCAAATGTTTTTTCATGTCCTGTACAAAGCCCTAGCTCCCCCCCTACTTAAAGTCAGAAACTTTGTTTTGTCCCCTTATTGAAAGAAAGATATGGTAATTGCAAAATTGAATGATTAACAGTACATCTTATGAATACTGTGTTTAGCCTACTGGATTAGCCAGCGAGCTATGAAGGCGTACTTTGATCACGAGGACAACCTCCACCCTCTGAAGTGTGACGTAACCTTCGTCAGGGACACAATGCTGAAATATTTCAAGGTATCTGAAATAATCTATGGTATAAAAACTTAAATTAACTCATCAGAATCAGCTTAAATTAAGTAATCTTTTCATAAGTTCAACACACAAAATTTAATATATGTGTATTATATATAAGGTTTCTGTCTTTTAAAATTCCTATAGTTGATATATCAGCCATTTGACTTTCAACAGATTTTGGATTTAGAATATCTTAGTTTGAAATTTTATGTTTCTTTTTCATTAAGCTTAATTGCTCATGAGATGGTGCATAACTTTATTTATTTTTTTTTTTTTTATGCCCCCGCCATAAAGTTAGGGTCATATAGCGTTGCCCATGTCCGTCGCAACTGAACTCCATGTAAACAATCTAGCATCTTCATTCTTTGATGGATTTTAAACAAACTTCATACAAAGGTCAAGTATGAGAATACCTCTGATATCGCTGTATTTTAGGGTTCCAAGGTCAAGGTCACTGTTGGTGTATACATGTAGAAAGTAATCAACTGATTTATTTCCCGACAAATTTCGATAAAGTTTAGACATATTTCAGGTATGAGAATACCTTGGATGGGTTCATGTTTGAAAGGTCACTGCATGTTGCTATATGTTCTCTACATTTCTCCTTTTGTCAACCTGACGTCTGATATTACCTTTAACCGAACATAATTCAGGGTGACAAGATCAAAGTCGTTGTAACTATTTATAGAACATTATCAAACACCGAAACTAATTTCACATGGCGGTGGGGGCATTCATGTCTTACAGACGTTTTCTTGTTATCAGTGTTATTTGGTTTTCCCAGATAGAGGAGAGAAATGGACTCCTCCACTACCTGTACACAAAGTTTGACAAGTCCTTCATCGCCGGTCTGTGTAAAGAGCTAGCAGCAGGTAAAGTAATTTAACCTATTCACCCCTAAAGTCACATTTGAACCTTACCAAATCAAAGACTGGACAAGTCCAGTTTAAATATGTAGGGGTGAATGAGTTAGTGTCAGTCTGGGATTTGTATTACATAGAGTGCAGATGTTACATTAAACACAAATAAAAGCATGTTTTATTTTTATACCTACTGTCATTCTGAAATGTCACATCATTTGATTGTAAACAAGTCAAGTCTGTCAGAGTCGGGCTCTGACAACCATTTTTAGGTAAAAGAAATGTATTAAAACACGAAAATTTCTTTTAATGCCTACTGCTATTGTGAACTAAGTTGTATTGTGCTGGAGATTTGTTTTAGGAAATTAGCATTTTTAAAACACAGTGGCCCTGAAGATCTGTCACATCTGGTTCCTATTCATATCTTATTTCACCTGGTATAATTAGCAAATGATTGGTGGTGGGGGGGGGGATATTTCATCTTATTAACACACTGTTGAATTGGCAACCTCATGAAAACAGTATACAGAATCTTCAGTTTAAAGTGCAATTATAATTATAGTTTACCACAATATTTAAAAGTGTGAAAAGTGCCTAAATAAGTTTATTGGAAAAAGATGTAAGAATGCTACACAGACTTACATTGTAGATAGGTTTAACCTTACCNCTAACTATTATGAAATAGACCTTATAAATATATTGCATATGTCCAAGCCTAGGTCCAGCTACACTACATAAACCAGTACGGAGAGGCAGGAGACTGTTACTGGTAATGTTCACACTTTTGTTTTCTTACTTTCCAGGTGCCACAGAAAAAAAGGACGAACTCTGTCAGCAGTTGTTTCGCGATGCTGGACAGATCCTAGCCAGACATGTTCTAGCACTGGAACCAAAGATCGATCAGGTTTCAAATAATATTAAGCTTTGTAAAAAATTGTTTTGTTAATTGCTGTGTCCTGGAGGCAAACCAGAGTTAAACCAAGTCAAATGTAAATCTGTGTTAAGTCATATCTTCTGATGGAATGGTAACTTACGACACATGTGGAAATTGAGATAGCAACTAAATTACAATACAAAGCAAAAAATGACCATAATTATGCAATAATGACAGAAGGGGAAAATTTTCTCGTAAGGAAAACATATTGTGAAAAACTATAATTGTGATCACTGACACTTTAAATATTAAAGTTTTGTTCTGAACTACAGAAACTGCTGGAGCAGGGCCTGAGTGTGGTATGTGTGGGGTCGGTTTGGAAAAGCTGGGATCTTATGAAGCAAGGTATTTTTACATTTGAAGAGAGTTATGAGTTAGTACCATACAGCTCCAAGGATTCTTGTTGTTTGTACAGGTTTAACACACTAAAGAAGGACTACACCATGTATGTCATTACAATTATAAGGGCACACTCTTATTCCAGACTCAGACCTGTTCATTACTCTTGCCCATCTTATTCATGACACATTACAAGTTACATATGAACGAGTATACAAGAACAGGTAACATGATGATGGATGCATGTTTACCAGGGACACCAGTACGTAAGCTAACGGGATGATTTAACTGAATGAGACGTCTGCTCTCTTACAGGGGTGCACTCTGAGCGACTAGCTATTGACCACATGTAGTCTGGGCGAGACCCAGACCATGTGACAGTAGCCAGGTGACACGGGCCAGAACCCCATGCTACCTGCGTACATGCACAAATCAAATCAAAACTTACCTAAGAAAATAAAAAGAAGGACGCCAGGACACTTAAGAAAAATTGTTTCATTGTAGTTAATTTTTGGCATTTTCAGGAGATATACATGTATCAAATGACTTGCACATGAATGTAAATATCACGATTGTATCTTTTAAGTGTTCATAGTCAACATCAGTTACTGTGTATAATTTGTGCAGAGTGACACCATAACTGTTTAACGAGAGAAAGTCTTCATACAGATTGAGTAACCAGTCATGTATACTTGCCAACATTTCGACCTGTGCTAAAATTCCACAGTAATTTTTTGTGATTGTCTCCCTTTGACCATCGTAAGACGGATCACAGTAACACTGCCAAAAACTGAAACTAATGCATTCAACACTCATTTTTCCAGCATAACTATAGCTGTGATACATTATTATTGAAAAGAAAAGTTTACCTTTATATGGAAATATAATGAAAAGATTAAATAAACAAAACATAATCAATAAACATGTTCTGAGTGTAAACTATTCTATGGGGCCAGACCGGGATTTGAACACTTGACTTCAGATTGTTATACCATCTCCGATACCGATTGAGCTACCTGGACAACGGAAAAGTATGCACCCAAATGTGCTACAGTTGTATATAAACGGAAGTTAAGGGGAGATTACAGTATATAGGGAAAATGGCAGTGCAGTGGGACAGGGATCCTTATCATGCAAGTTAGGAACCCAAGCTTGGTGATTATCATATTATTAAAATTGTGACGTCACACTCATATCGTTAGAGGCCACAGGTTGATTGATCCTTCTACTGAAATTCTACCTGGTACTGGAACAACAAAATATATTTATCAAGAGATCCTCAAGGTTAGAATCTATGAAAACAAGTATAGTTAACTCCACAAATCAAAGGATCTTAACAGGCAACATATGTTGTTTAATTTGTCTTCAACTCTGAACAAAATGTACTTTAATGCATCAACAACATAAGAATGAGGAAGATGACATTTTTATTACAGATTTAAATGTTTCGGGTTTAGGTTTGGCAGTATTTAACTCACTAACTACATTTGGGGTCTGTTCGTTTATGCGGAACAACCGTTTTTCACCGTTTATAAATGTAACAATTTCGGGTAGAAATCCCGGCGGACCTGCAAATGTTTATGCAGGCCTTACAAGGCTTTGTCAAGGCTTGCCTGAAAGCAGCGTCAGATTACTAGGTCCAACCTTATTAAATAAACGAACAACTGTGGTCCGACCGGTTTGACTGTTTAAATGAAAATGGCCTTGGTCTGATACTGGTTAGGTGAATGGTGAAACTAAACGATCAATTTTATTGAGTTAGAAAAATCTCATACACAGAGTGTTTCTATTTATACCATATAAATGCTATGAGAATGAGGTATTCTTATGTGCTTCCGGTAATATTGATAACTAAATTGTGTTGACTATACAATATAGCACACTAGTTATTTCCCTTGGCATAGCAAACATTTAATTTACTGATATTTTTTAATTCGGAAAATTTTAGATGAATTTGAGCTTAGTTCACATTTGTAAGTGCTAACAGAACCAGTTTGAAATGGTCTGGTATTGCTATTTAATTTATTGAAACCCTGTCAGTGTACATTTTAGTATATTTGACAAGTATTTAAGTAACGGTATGGTTTAGGAGATTAAAAATTGCACGGCCAGACTTGGGTTCGAGCCCTTTTAACTCTAGATGGACGCTCTACCAATTGAGCTACTAATCGACCCAGTCCAGTTCTGCTACAAGTTTATTGTACAGTAGATATCTGATCATGAACTATATTCAATACCCACATTGATGCAAACTGAGGATATTTTTCTATTTCAGTGTACAGTATTAGAGTATATTTGAGTTAAGTAAAAGACCAGTTTGATTGGCCACCAATGTACATGAATATCATGTAAATCTCGAGAGATGTTTGATTTTATTCCTAAATAAGGGGTTGTAATGGTCTCTTATGATTTATAATCTATTAGTGTCCAAGATAATTAACATTTCGGAGTAAGCCAAAAAAAACCACCTAGATGGTCACAATAAAAACAAAAAACACTGAACAACATTTTTTATACAGGTTATTTTTGCATTTCTAGGAATTTTTAACCAAATTTCATCTGTTTTAGGATTCATGAAGGAGATTGAGAGTAGAGATCACAGAATTCGCCACCTGAGCCTATGTGAACTTAAACAGTCGGCGGCCGTTGGTGCCGCTGGTATAGGCGCCACAAGTGTCGGAAGCACCCTGCCACTAGACTACGCCGCTAATGCCTCAGTGTTCTTTCAAACACAACTCGGAAAATGAACTTTGTCTTGATTGTTGCAGTTTATTTAGTCAGCTTAAGGTGGAGAGTCCCAGCACTCTTTGTTGTATCTCCAATGAAGAAGAGTTCGTATTTGTTTGGAATTTTCCTGATTCGGAGTTGCTTGTCAATTTACTATGTAGCAAAGAGTTATAAACGAAAGAAATATATTTAATATGAAAGCTTTATTCACAAACCATCCCTGCCACATAGGCTAACTCTGTTGGCCTCTTGATTATAAAACTGGGAACCTATCTGCTACACCACCGGCCATTATATTAATCAGGCAAATAGTTTTCCTTAAAAAATATTGTGAATGATTAAAACAAAATTGAACTCCCTAAAATGGCCTGTTCCCTACAGATGTCTTTGTATGAATATGGAAGGAAGAAAAAAGGAAAACTTTCGAGGCCTGTATACAGTATACAAGTGATGGGATTCTCTACCTTAACTGACCATTGGTTAACCGGGGAGTCTAAATGACCATTGGTTTACTGGTCAGTCTAAATGACCATTGGTTTACTGGTCAGACTATATAATATATAAATGACCATTGGTTTACTGGTTTGTCTAAATGACCGTTGGTTTACTGGTCAGTCTAAATGACCATTGGTTTACTGGTCAGTCTAAATGACCATTGGTTTATTGGGAACTATTTGTTCATTACAAATCTGGGGTTAAATTAAGGATCTATGCCTAGTTGTAGAAACAAGCTAAGCTTAAAATTTAATTTATACAGATTTTTCATGCTGTTAATGATAAATTTGAAGCAAACGGTGCACATAACTGGGATTAAACTCATCATCTGAAGTCAATTTAAGACAGGAAATACTAAGAATATGTAAAGTTTGTGATTTCTCGAAATATTTATTTCAACTTTTAACTTTCCTTTGGCTTTGAACAAGTAGTTGTGGGATGTTTGGGAAATTTTTTTGAGGTAAAATCTAAAAATTGAAAGATATTCCTTCCTATGATTGTTAACTTTATAATTAATTATTCTGTGTACAGTGGAGCATATAATTTCAGCAGGCACTAATGTTTCTAGGTTAACCAAAAATAATGTTCCCAGCTGAAGTGGTTAGATTGTGAGACAGGTGAAATCACATGAACAATTTTGTAAAGAATAAAATAGCCAATATGTCTACTGTAACACGGATGGGATAGTGGGACAACCGTATCAGTTATATCTTGAAGGGCTATATCTTGCAAATGAGTGTAAACTGTACTTAAAATGGGATGAAAAACATCCATCAACATTGCAGATTATGAAAAAAAATACTTTTTGTATAAAGTGTTTCATAATTGTCCATATAGAAACTACTCTATGCCAGAAAACTTTTGCCCAGTCAAGTTTTGTTCCCTTCGCCTTTAAAATCCATATTCACCAGAGTTAATTTCGCCCTTCATTTCTCATTGCTATACATATTATGTTAAATTTGCCCTCATTATAGAGGGTGAAAAAAAGGCGCAAATTTTCCTGTATACAGTATTTGATTAAATTATGCAGTAGTTAGGAGACTCAACTGAAACAAAAAAAAAGATGATATTTATTTCTAGTTATTTGCATATTCAATATTCATTAGCCCTTTCACCTCTGTAGACCATAATGGACTCATCTGTACCAATGCATGGTAGAGTCTACTTAAGTTACATAGGGGTGAAAAATATGGGTTTTAAAAAAAGTCATATAAAACACAGGCTTGATTATAAAAAATCACAAAAAATTAAGCAAAATTCACCAAATTAAACAACAATTAAGCAATGGACAGTATCCCTTGATTGGTTCCCTATGGTTAATGGTTAATTATGGTTAATGGTTAATTATGGTTAATGGTTCACTATGGTTAATGATTCACTATGGTTAATGATTCACTATGGTTAATGGTTCCNGGTTCACTATGGTAAATGGTTCACTATGGTTAATGGTTAATTATAGTTAATGGTTCACTATGGTAAATGGTTAATTATGGTTACGGTAATGGTTCACTCTGATTAACGGTTCACAATGGTTAATGGTTAACTAGGGTTCAATACAAACACATGGAAAGTTATATCATTATTTGAGTGGATTTGAAACTCAATATAGGGTTGTTATTGCTAGTACATGTATTGGAAATGGTGCATTAATGATTATTTTGTGTATAGGTGCTTGTAGTTAAAGATTTTGAATAAAAGATAAATAGAAGGAATAAGATACCAGGTAAAGGAAAGCTTGACACATTTAATACATTAATATATAAAGGGTGAACATTAAGACAAAACGTTTACTTCCTGAAGTTTTAGTCATTAATACATCAACAGATAATGGGTGGAAACTAATATATAACATGTTCTTCCCTAAGTTTTAGACATTGAACAGGTAATGGGAGTTTGGGAGCCACATCATTGTACTTGATCCTTTGTGAACCAGTTTTATGATGATTATTAAGTAAACATAAAATCCTGAGGTCATTGTACCTTTTCTAGTCATTATAGAATTCAGTGTTTCCTGTTGTTGTGTAAACTGAATTAAGGATCCATGTCCCACTACACTGTGGTTTTTCTTAAACACAGTAACCTCCCATTCATTTCTGTTTTGGATTTAACGTATAGCACAGTTTAACCAGGATACTTCTGTAGACTGGGTAGCTCAGTCGGTTAGCGCAATAGTTTAACTGTCTGAAGTTTAAGGCTTTATAGTTTTTACCTGAAAGTCCCTCAAACTATGGTTTTCATTTCAAAAATGTATTGATCAATTTATCGAAACAACAGTCACGCCGAAAAAACAGTTACAAAGGCGTAGATACAGTTTGTCAAATTGTGGTAGTTGTACGGGGATCATAATTTTTTTAAATGGTGGCAGTGGTACAGGGATCCTTAATTGTTAAATGGTGGCAGTGGAACAGGGATCCTTAATTGTTAAATGGTGGCAGTGGTACAGGGATCCTTAATTGTTAAATTGTGGCAGTGGTACAGGGATCCTTAATTGTTAAATTGTGGCAGTGGTACGGGGATCCTTAATTGTTAAATTGTGGCAGTGGTACGGGGATCCTTAATTGTTAAATTGTGGCAGTGGTACAGGGATCCTTAATTGTTAAATTGTGGCAGTGGTACGGGGATCCTTAATTGTTAAATTGTGGCAGTGGTACGGGGATCCTTAATTGTTAAATTGTGGCAGTGGTACGGGGATCCTTAATCGTTAAATTGTGGCAGTGGTACAGGGATCATTAATTGTTAAATTGTGGCAGTGGTACGGGGATCCTTAATTGATATACTGTGGCAGTTGTACGGCCAGGGGATCCTTAATTGTTAGTGGTAGCCGTGGTATGTGGATCCTTTTTATTTTTGGTGGTAGCCCTTGGTTGTAGCCCTACCTTGGTACGGGGATCCTAAGTTGCTAGTAGTAGCTGTCATCTTAACTGATTCATGACTGGTTTATGGGACAAGAACGTCAACATTGATATATTCACATGTTTATACATGCAGCTGAGTGCTGTCCTTGTTCTGCCTTTGACATACTTGCCAACATTTCTAATTTTTCATGGGCGAGAAACTGTGTGACAGGTTGTTTAAACTAACAGAGAAATCTTACTTTATGACATACTTAGTGTAAAGTACTAACATTTGACCTGTTCTATGCAATTCAATAACTGCAAACGAGTACAGAGCAATATGTATTGAATTTTCCCATCTTTTAAAAAGTCAGAAATGAAGGTGGAAAATAGATATCTGATAACTCATTCAGCCCTAAAATTTCATAATGAACTATTCCAACGTTTGAACTTGAAGAGTTCAAATGTGTCTTCAGGGGTGAATGATTTAAAATAGGGAGACCTGGAGGATGATTATGGGGTAAATATGATATATGATAAATATAATCAAAGCAATACTGGTCTATGCATGTTACACTAGATTACTGATATTTTGCATACAATTTATTAAGTGGATTATTTTAGTAAAATTAAAGATTAAAACATTATTTTAGAATGGATTTTGAAATTGCATGGGATGTGACTTTCGTTGGGAAAAAAATCGGTAATTTTTATTTTAAATGTGGGTGTTTTACAGTTTGATCTCCATTTTCACCCATAATATTTTCAAATTCAACTTGCATGATTCATTTTAAATTTGTGGCTTTTGAGAATACTGAGAGAATGAACGGATGTATAACTGCTGAGGTTTGGTTAACCTGTTTTTGGTTAACTTGTTTGATTTAGCATATGTATATCGCACAAGGTAATTTTAAAGAAATAATGTGATTAAGTATGGATTTTATATGAAATAGATATGTTGTGTATGAATGGTTGCTTCACAATGATGAAATGGTGTATTCTTTTGTTTTCCAATCAACATATGACATCGTGTTCATATAAAGACATTCCTTACGTTACAGTTTTGAAAGGATTTGAAAATCACGCTATGTTGTTCTTAAGATGAAAAGATTGTTACGTTTATTTCAGCCTGTATTCCAAATTTTGAGTTAGTGACAGTTTTAATTATGTAACTTTAAGGCTCATATCGTTTTAAGAAGCTTAAAAGAGACTGAAAATCTGAATATATTGAGAAACTTTTTTGTGTGACTAAACCATTACTTGATACCTCTTTATTTGTATAACTGTCTGTAAGGTACAACAAAGCATCTGATTCCATTTCATTTCTTAATTGGACGATGTTCTTTTTCCTAAAGAACATATATTTTTAATAGGATTAATTGCATCTGAATAAGAGAAACATCTACCTCTCCCCCATCCGACACACACGCTCATTGACAAAAGTAAGTTCTTTCTGTTCAGTTATTTAAGATTGATTCACGTTATAATGTGAAACACTTGACAAATATATTTACTGGAATGTCATATTTAAAAATATGTTTTGATGAGGCGTTATGGGAATATACATTTATCATTAATGACACACATGTGAATAATGTGTAAGTTTCATTGTGAAATTGAAACCCAAGGAGGCATTTCCGTGCGACGGATAAATGTATAAACTAATGATGAAATCATGCCTTTTAAAAAATATCTGAACTGATGATGAAATTCATGATGACCTCATGCCTCCAAAAAAATCCTTCACCTGCTTGTAGAAGGTTGTAGAAAAATGGAACAAAAATGACTAACAACACTTAAAAACTAAATCAAGATATGTCACAACATCGTGTATTTATTGATTGTATTTAGAACCAAATCCAATAATACTGGTTAAGCATTTTACAATATATAAACAAGCATCTTCGAAGCTAAAAGTGTCGTCTGCTGGATAGCCGAATTACTCGGTAGTGAAGCTATTATAACGTAAAACCACTCAAACAAACAAACAAAAAGCTAAATGTTATAAAACTCTAGATATAAACAGTGTCCATATTCTCGAGATCTGCACCCGGGGATTTTCCCGTGATAGTATCGAAAGTGTACGATCACCTGATTGGTTCCAGACATCAATAACAGACCAGTCGCTCGTCTCATCAAAGACTTATGCTGAAATCTAAGTCTGCAGATTTACCTTTACGATACCACGAGATTCACTTTTTACCTCAAGTAATCAAAGCTTGAAGTAAAATCTTAGAGAAGCAGAATTCCGTGAAAGTTTGCAGACAAATCATTTCGTATCTCCAAGGTGTAGATTTGATATCCAGAGTGGAAATTTGTGATTCAAACAGATATCAATTCTCAGGAAACAATTGTAAAATACGCACCATTTTGAAAACTGTATGATATGTTATGTAGATGAAATAAATATTGAACTGTGTTTTTATTTTGTGTTTTGGTTTCTTTCCAAAAGAAGTTTGATATTCAAAAAAAGACCTTTGGTAATTGAATTATATATTATTTCAAGATATCCGTGTAGTGTAAACAAACTGTTTTCCATTTCTCTGCATGGATTTGGATTCCTCTGTCAAAAGGGTTGATCTACAAACAGACATGATAAGAACATTGATAGACTTATTTTTTTTGTGACCACTAGTGCGAGTGTTAGGCCGAAAAAGAATGTTTCAGGTAACATGACTGAAAAAATAGGGCAGGTCGGTAGGGATTTATTTAATTTAATTTTTTAGGTCACCTGAGCTTTAGCTCAAGTGACCTATTGCTATCCGTCTTCGTCCGTCGTCCATTAACATTCTACATTTTCAAATTAAGCTGAAATGCTGGCAAAGGGATTTCATCAATATTTCATGGGAAGATTACTGACATCTCCCTGACCAAGTGTTGTTATTTTTCGGGTCGATCAGAAATCCAATATGGCCGCCATGGCAGTTATTTTGAAAAACTATTTCAAACTTAAAGTCAAGTTCTACTGGGCCGATTGAACTGAAACTTAATAGGAATGATCGACTCATAGTCCTGACAAAGTGTTGGTATTTTCTAGGTCGATCAGAAATCCAATATGGCCGCCGCGGCCGCCATTTTGAAAAACTATTTCAAACTTAAAAACAAGTTCAAATAGGCCACTCTAACTGAAACTCGGTCTAGGAATGATCAGGTCATGGTCCTGACAAACTTGAGTTAACGTTATATTTAGCTATTTTTTACTCAAATCGGTACGTATTTCAACAACAAAAATAAATACTGTAGGACTCAGGTGACCGTTAAGGCCCATGGGCCTCTTGTTTTATTTACTTTTTACTACATACTACTAGTACAACATGTTTCACGTCGTTTTATGACATTCACCTTCGACT